ATACCTATATGTTTTTGTTTTTATAGATCAAGTTAAAATGGAGCTATATTTACTGTCAATCAATGGCTTCTAGGAGTGCCATTTGGGCACCGTTCACTTCGCAAATGTCGCGAAGAATGGAGAAGACACGTTATATCTATATATATATAACTAGCATTGCCCGCGGCTCCGCCCGCGTTTAGATGACCAAAAACCAAATTCTTAGGTTTTACATATTAGTATACTCGCACATTACAGTTTTTGTATTTTTTCTCAGAAATGAGATAATTTTCCGGGGTAAAAAGTATCCTATATGTTGACTTGAATAATCAGCTATGACCATACGAAATTTCATCAAAATCCGTCTAGTAGTTTTTCTATGATGCGGTAACAGACAGACAGACAGACAGACAAAAATTCTAAAAACTATAGATTCGGACCCTGTATCGATAATATTGTCTATTTCAATTACATTTTCAAAATAATATTTTTATGTACAGATTCGACTTAGTTACAATTTTATTATACGAGTATGTATAAATGACCGGTGTAAAATAGAAAAAAAAGCAATTTAAACCACCAATGAGACATGAACCTATTATCATTGTCATATTTTGTACTGCAAATGTTAGTTTAAAGTACGTGGATTAGTTAATCTGTAATTGTTATTACGTCCCTTAGTCATATAATCTAAGCTTAAACGATTTATTATCTATCATACCTAATTATATGTAGTTGGGTAAACAAACTGTTTATAGGTAAATTTCTTATCACTTCAAGGTATTTATACTCAATGTCACAGTTAAGGTCAGGAAGCCGACATGAAGTTTTTAAAAATAACAAAAAGATTTTCAGTACGTAAGAGAAAATATTTTCTTATTTTTGACGATAACACATTTTTATGGTGTGAAACCATGATATGGCGTGAACCTGTTTTTCACTAATCAGTTTCTTTTGCGAGTTCCTTAAGTATTATTTAACCGAGACTACGGCGCTTGCAACAATGCCAATCAATGCTGTAATTTAAAAAAAAACTAAAAGACATGTATTACTACGAATAATAATATAAATTATTAATTATATAAAAAGAGGATCTATATGTATTATTGTAAATTAATTATTGGATTCTTTAAGTTGGCATTCTGATATAAATTACTTATTTGAGTTTTCTGAAGTTGTCATCTTGAGTGGAAAAAGGGCGGGAACAGCGTTGTGTTTTGCTTTATGACATTCTTTCTCGTAATATCGTTTGTGGCGTTATTCTGACTGTGTATAATAAAATAAAAACTGTGTGCTGTTACACCGAATTTTACTTGACCTACCTGACCTACTTCTGAAAAAGTCACGTGGTAAATAATCCATTTTAAATCATATTTAAATTATATCTATACATATAATAAAATTGTAACTAAGTCGAATCTGTACATTAAATATTTTTTGGAAAATCTGATTGAAATAGGCATTATTATCGATACAGAGTCCGAATCTATAGTTTTTAGAATTTTTGTCTGTCTGTCTGTCTGTCTGTTACCGCATCACGAGAAAACCACTGGACAGATTTTGATGAAATTTGGTATGATGACAGCTGGTTATCCGGGTCAACATATAGGATACTTTTTAGAGCTGGAAAATATCTCATTTCTTAGAAAAAATACGAAAACTGCAATGTAAGAGTATACTAATATGTTAAACCTAAGAATTTGGTTTTTGGTCATCTGGACGCAAGCGGAGCCGCGGGCAGTGCTAGTTTTAGCATAAAATATATATTATAGTAGTTATTATTAATTAATTCACTTAAATCACGCGTATCGTATATTTTTTTATAGCTCCATGTCACACATAAATCGCTCTTCGTACTCCAAATAGGTAGGTATCTTTAATTGAAATTTTTATTTAAATTGTGAATGTTTTTGTATTCAATAAATAGCGGAATTATCGCGATGCATCTATAAATTGGAAACAGTCAAATCAACACACAAATTATAATATTTATTGCGATTTAAAATATATGTATATAAATATGTGTCTTGAGGTTTTATATAGTAATAACTATATTGATCCTAAACACCCATATTTACTGAAAATTTGATAAAAAAGCTTGTGACAACATAAATTTTACAAAATATAACTTAACAACTGGAGTGAAGCAATCATTTGAAACAAGGAAACAAATTTGAAATTGGATCCAATTTTTGTATATAAATCCAATATATAGTTATTTTGATCGGATTTTACACAAATTATGTATTGTATTATTTAAAAGACTAGCGAATCACCTTCGCTTCGCTCGGGTTCGTCCCTAGGTTGCTTCCCAGTACAAACTATCATCCCTATTTTCACCCCCTTAAGGAATGATTTCCGGGATAAAAAGTATCATATGTCCTTTCCAGTGTCTTAAACTGTCTTCTTACCAAATTTCATCTAAATCGTTTCAGTAGATCCAGAGATTACTCCCTACAACGTCACAAACTACAAACTCACAATATCACAAACTTTACCTCTTTATAATATTAGTATAGATAAGATTCAAATTGAAATTTAATGTCAGATTAAATTTATCAATACACATAGATAGTAATAATAATTATTAAACTTTTACACTTCCATTATAGATAAGTTGTATGTGGACTTCATATGTTTCCTATATAATTCTTAAGTGTTTTTAAACAAAATGAAAGATATTTTAATGTTTGTGGCTTTGATGACTCTACCTATGATTGCTATCGTCGGGTTTTGGTGCTGCGTAATTTCAAGTATATCAATTTATTGCCAGATAAGTAAGTTTACTTTTATTTTAAATCTCCTTTTTTGGATAATACTGGCATTGCCCGCGGCTCCACCCGCGTTCAGATGACGAAAAACCAAATTCTTAGGTTTTACATATTATATACTCTTACAATGCAGTTTTTGTATTTTTTCTCAGTCGATCTTAATGTTTATGAGCTATATTTCTTTTGGCACGTTTGGAAAAAAAAATTAAAAGTAAAATTTTTAGGATGCGCGTGCGTGCATACCAACAGCCAAAAAGCGCCATGATGAAGTTAGCTACATTCTTTTTACAAACAGAGAGTTGTGCCATACAGGTTGACATCTTTAGCTATTTTTGTTCTTACGTGCGTACATAAGTACACGCGTTTTTTTTTAATTATAAGTCTACCTCAATACATTTAGTGTCATCTCTAAGAGCCAAATTACTTTTAAATTGATATTGAAATCGATGTGCCTTATTGTCTAAGGGTAATGCTAGAATAAACAGGTAGATAGTGCCTTTTGTTATACCTCTATCGTCGTAGCGTCGTCATGGTACATACAGCTATATAGCTGGCATCAGACTTAAATTGTAATATTGAAATGAAGGTCGGGGATTCAATTTCTGGTGAACGTTTGTGTGATAAAATAATTTGTACAAATCTATACATATAATAAAATTGTAACTAAGCCGAATCTGTACATTAAATATTTTTTGGAAAATCTTATTGAAATAAACATTATTATCGATACAGAGGCCGAATCTATAGTTTTTAGAATTTTTGTCTGTCTGTTACTGCATCACGGAAATACCACTGGAGGGATTTTGATGAGTTTTGGTATGATGGTAGCTGGTTATCCGGGTCAAACCATAGGATACTTTGTTCTGCGGGAAAATATCTCCTCTCTGAGAAATCTATACTAAACCTTAAAACGTTATTAGGGACGGACCCGAGCGGAGCGAGGGTGAGTCACTAGTTTACTATATACAGTGAAAACTGCAATGTTATTCTTTTAAATTTTATATGTAATTCAAGAGCTGAAATCGAAACGTTCATAGATTCAGGCGTTGGATTGCAAAAAAGTTCTTATAGACTATCACAAAAGGTGACTTGATATATTATAAAAATATCACAATTATTTTTAAACTATCCCTATTTTATCTCTTCTTAAATTTTCTGACTTCTAACATATTACTCTAATACATTTATAGCTGACCCGACAGTATCAAATTTATGCCTGTGGTATCCCACTGTAGAGCAAAATCCTCCTTACTCTCTTTGCGCTTCTCTCTCTCTTTCGCATCAATAGACAAGTTTCTTTGCAAGGAGTTCATCCTGCAATCTCCGTCTGGACTAATCACGTCATCTGTCTATCTATCCAATCACGATGAAATTTTGTGACACACATGTAATGCTACACATGCTATATATACATGTGTTTACATTTTAGTGCGTTTTTAAAGTTTTTATTTTTCCATTTTTAGTATAGACGTAATAAGCAGATAATTTGCAAGAAGAAAGGTTTTTTTAAAACATATTCAATTAAGCAATTTATTTAAAAAAATAATTTATATATTGATTTTTTTTAAAACCGCTCGACTGATTTCGATAAAATTTAAATGGGAACCCTTCCAAACAAAAAAACAAGAATTCCAAATCGATTCAGGCGTCTTCGAGTAATCGGTGAACATACATAAAAAAAAAGATTCCGACGAATTGAGAACCTCCTCCTTTTTTTATGTCGGTTAATATATATATATATATATATATATATATATATATATATATATATATATAATTGTAAAGACATCACTACCAAAGTATTTATCAATACATATTACTTTTTCACCTTTTTTGTGAAGATAATATCTCTCTGTTTATATATTAAGAGTTTTTATAAAACATCTAATTCAACTTCTAGTCAATATAGAGACGAGATAATTCGAAAGGAAGTACTTCCTACGACAATTGGACAACCACCTTCAGCGGCTTAGTACACGGGTATACACTCTTGCGCACAGTTGTATACTTATTTTTTAAATGTATTATAATTGAATTTTTTACTCTATGATGGCGTGTATAGATAAAAAAGATATTTGCCGTTTAAAATATAATATTCGATTTGTTTATATAATTTATAGATATTGAAATAATTTCTCTATAATTTTCTTCCAAAAATGTACCGCCATTCGCCTTTCTGCGATTACGATAGCACAAGATAAGATTAAGACTTATATATCCATACTGTGTCATTTGTAGTGTTTATTCAAAATGGATCTTATATCTTCTATTATGATTGCAATATTCATTTTCATGTGTTTATATTTGTTCTGGCTGTGGTTTTGTTTCGGATCTTGTGTTGAGAGACGTAAGTTGATATTTTTTATTAATTTTCATATAATTTTTGTTACTTTAAACGTGTAGATGAATCTTCTAAAGTTTAAACTCAAAAACAAACAGTTAAAAATAGTCAATAAAGAATATTTTTTGTAATGCGATTCTCTTTTATCGCACTTGTATATAGATTATATAGATACTTATTATGTGAGAAAATATAAGACACTGTAGGGTATAATTGCAAAGGTTAACATAAAAATGCCTAGCATTTGGCAATCTTCTACAGGAGAATTTGTTTAAAAATATATTTTTTAAAGCAAATTTTACTTCGCATGGAAGTCATTTTTCCAACTCATTCACTAATAGTGCTTTTGTGAAAGTTATGAAAAATATATTATAAAATAGAGACAGTTAACTGATATAAATATTAGTAGGTATTTGATTAATATTTTTGGTTTTCTAATTAAAAGTTTCATATAGCGCGTTATCGGGGTCGAATGTAATCAAACTATCGGCTTGATACCGTTCATTGGCTTCTTTGTTCGATAAGAGATTTACATATGTTACTAGGGACTCACCCTCGCTTCGCTCGGGTTCGTCCCTAGATTGATTCCCCATACAAACTTTCATCCCCATTTTCACCCCTTAAGGGATGATTTCCGGGATAAAAAGTATCCTATGTCCTTTCCAGGGTCTCAAACTATCTTCTTACCAAATTTCATCTAAATCGGTTCAGTAGATCCAGGGATTATCCCCTACAACGTCACAAACTCATAAACTCACAATACACTTGACCTCTTTATAATATTAGTATAGATTTACCTTATTGTCACTTGCAATATAAACGGAAAATAATATTTAATAGACCTATTTTTGTAGCTATAGGATCTACAACGACATGTTTGGATACCAGATAGTTGATACACTACACAAATACAAATAGTGACCCTACCTTGCTGTGCCAGCGGTAGCGGGTTCGAGCCCCGCTGGGGGCATTCATTTTTGTGATGAGCACGAATGTTTGTACTCCAGTCATGGTTGTTTATATTTGTAATATATATGTATTTAAACTTTAAAGTTTAGTGTAGTGTATCAACTATCTGGTATCCATAACACAAGCCTCATAGCTTACCTTGGAACTAGATGGTGCTTTGTGTTAATGTTAAAAAATATTTATTTATTATAAGAACCTATTATAAGTTACCATATATTTAGAAAGAGAAACTAACAACGTTGAAACCTCGATATGGAATATAATTTCCATAATTCCATCAAATTGTGGTGAAATTGAGAATCTTTAACATATTTATGAATGCTAATATGCAGCCAGTAGTTGAAATTCAACCATATTTATTATTGAAATTTTTTGAGAAAAGCATATATAAAGAATTTAAGTACTTATATAAAAATCTGTTTCAATTTTTTTTTATTGATAAGACTAAAGCTTGTCAAAAGTCACTAAGCTAAAAAAATAAAATAGATAATTCGGTTGACAAACAAAGGAGAAAAAGTTACAGATTTTTTTATCTTTGCCTATTTGTATACAACTTGACGCTATAACATTTCTAAAACATAAAATTCCTAGATATTTAATTTCAAAATGGCACTTGCCAGTTTTGATAAATGTAGGTGAACTGCTTCTTATGAACAAATCAAATTTCAAATAGCGGTGATACTCATGTCATAACATGAAAATTCTATTATTTATTTATTACCTTTATATATTATTTTGTACTTAGGAAATATTAGAACTATTAAGAAACCAAACTGATATGTTATATATTCGCCCGCGTTCAAATGACCAAAAAACAAATTCTTAGGTTTTACATATTAGTCTACTCTTACATTACAGTTTTTGTAAGAGTAGACTAATATGTAATGTGTTTTTCTCAGAAATGAAATATTTTCCCGCCGTAAAAACATCCTATATGTTGACCCGGATAACCAGCTATCACCATACTAAATTTCATCAAAATCCCTCCACTGGTTTTTCTGTGATGCGGTAACAGACAGACAGACAAAAATTCTAAAAACCATAGATTCGGTCTCTGTATCGATAATAATGTTTATTTCAATATGATTTCTCAAAAAAATATTTAATTTACAGATTCGGCTTAGTTACAATTTTATTATATGTATAGATAAGCTATATAGACTATTTAGCAAAGAGTTAACACCTATATACAAATAGACTTTACATAGCCCTATCAAATGTATCTACGGAAAACCAAGGTAACATAATATTATATCCAGCTATTGTCTCCATCCTCTGGAGGAACAATTCCCTCTTGTGTCACCTTTATTTATAGTTCACCACGTTCTTTACTAGTAGTTGCATTTTATTAGAGATCCACCCTCACTTGGCTTGGCAGTCCCTGTATGCTTTTCGCCATCAAAATTGCCAAGCGTGCTTCTGTTTCCAAGAAGTAGGTAGGTAAATGGTGCCCTAAACGCGCTCTGTTTGGATACACATTGCACTTAGGACGAACAGATGTGAACCTTTGCCTGTTATCTACTATTAAATATTAAAATATATTATTTTTATTTTTTGTATGTAATATTATGAAGGATTTCAGAAAGGATTTTTTCATACTAAATTCATAAATATCATACTGGGAACCGCTATTTTCGTGAAATATTCATTAACTATAACATATACCTTACTTGATAATCGTATTAAAACACAAACACAAACTCAGAGTGGTGGAGGACTTTCATTTATAATGTAAGGATTAGGAACAAAGTACTTAATCTAGAAATATCATTGATAAATCAAGCTCTGTCAACTACGATTAATTTTAAACTTTACGCCTCAATATATAAGAGTCAAAAGTTAACTGGCTTAATTGAATTAAATCATAAAACTGAGTGGCTACTGCGCATACAATACGAGCGTGCAATTGTAGTTTTAAATTGTTACATTATTTTTGAATATTAAAATAAAAAAAAATGTTATTTTTCTAATGAAGTTGTTAATAAAGTTCTCTGTAGGTTTAATTGGGGTTTCCTTGGTTAAACTTTTAAGTTTTATATTTTAATTCAATCTAGGAAAGTTAAAAAATATATTATATGTATAAATATAACAATTAATTGGATCCAGTTATGCAAAAAACAGCCATGTGCGTAAAAGTACCAATAGAGTTATAAGCATTTTTCTGTCGATAGTTGCACTTGGGTTATGCTTTGTTTTTCTGGTTATTTTAAAATTGAACAGTATTTATATAAGTATTGTTTATTTTTTATAATTATTTTACTTTTTATAATAAAATGCTTATAGGTCTCTCGGTACTTTTACACACATGGCTGTTTTTTGCATAACTGGGTCCAATTTACATTTTAACATTATGTGTAGTTTTAAAAATGTAAAGTTAATTTATTAGGGTTTCGTACCCTTTGATTCTACTAATCTAAGCACTCTCCAATAATTCCTATTCAAGAAGGTAATAAAACCTCGGTGCACTTATCCAACTCACACTTGACCATTTCCTTATTACTTCTACCTCAAGTCACATAATCATGGAAAAAAAAAAAAAAAACAAGCATAGACATAATCTATTATTAGTACACTAGATAAAAAAGTCGCATCCCCATCGCGCCATATCGCATGCCTATAATAAATTAACGCCTTTATCAAGAATATACGAGTATCATAATCGATCGATATTGAGCGCTTATCGCATTTTTACCATTCTTAATTTTATTTTTTTTCGATAAAATATCCATTTGTCGTTCTAATTTCGTATCAATAACATTTTTTTTCCACAAAATCAAAAATGGCAGACTTAACTTCTATGCTAATTTTTATGGCGTTAAATATTTTGATCTTCTGGTTATTATATGGATTGCTTGTAAAGTGCTTTGGTAAGTCAATTTTACTACTAAACATTAAACAAAACAACAGACAAGTGGAAATTTTAGGGATATACATATTGCTTTTTTTTAAATATTTTGCATTATTTGGGTGCGAAATCAGTCTGTCTTTATATATATAGTATAATTAATGATTAAAAAAAAGCAACTGCGCATGCGCAAACAGTTTCTGACTTATTATACTTTGCGTCAAAATGGTAGCAAAATTGTGTTATCATAATTGCGGACCTTCTTTTGTCTTCGTCTACGTCTGTCCATTCACATCCATACATTTTCTTACTTAGGTATATAACTTTCTATACTCATGATATGCCTTTACCAGGATATCTTATGACTTCTCAGTTTCTCTATTACTGGCAACACTTTCAATTCTTCATATTGGTTACTAGTATAAAATACAGCTATTATGTTTGAAAAATCGGATATATCAGTACCGTCAAATCCCTAACCAGAAAATACGACGTTTGGCTCAGTTTGTTTGACCCTACTTGCTGCGCCATCGGTCGCGGGTTATAGTCCCGCCGGGGGCATTCATTTGTGCGATGACCACGAATGTTTGTACTCCAGTCATGGATGTTTATATATTTATAATATGTATGTATTTAAAGTTATTAGATCGTGCTGTGTGTTAATGTACCAATATATTTATTTATTTATTGGTCACTGTTTCAGAAACCGAAATTCGTCATCGTCATAGCCATGTACATTCAATTTTCAAATCTACATATTATGTTTTATAGGAAAAACACTGCTTAGATAATATTATCTAGATAATTAGCGATACGGCCGCCATTTGTGTACACTTTTGTGTTTTTAGATACATTTTTTTCCTATTTATACCTTATGTAATTTTTGTACAATAAAGTGTATGAATAAATAGATATTTTTAAATAGCTTTTTTCGTAGTATGCCTAGGATATTACGGCAATTAGAATAGCCTGTGTATGTCACAGTAGTTCTAGGTTTTAGTGGCTACGATCACGTTATACACACATTTAGTACTTATGTTTTAGTATGATGTAAACAAGCATATGATTTCAGTATGACGTAGGTTTATACTATTTTATAATCTATACACATAATAAAATTGTAACTAAGCCGAATCTGTTCATTAGATATTTTTTGGAAAATCTTATTGAAATAGACATTATTATCGATACA